AATGTCATGTCAAAGAACCAAACAGAAGTCCTACGTAACATTTAATTTTTACTTTTTTCTCAGAGGAAACACAGATTTTAATGTTGTAAATGATAGACCAGCCAGTCAGGTGGGACAATCAACTCTATTAGATAAGAACCTTATATTTTTTTATATTTCTCACTCTTTCATTAAGGCAAAGTCCTATTTAGCCTTTATGAAAGAGTGGGGAAAGTTGAAGAATATATTGCAACAATCCACTTCAAGAACATAGCGAATATGGAAGAGAGGCTGATTTAGTCGCTGTAACTGTATTGCTGTGTATGTATCAATAAAAATAGAACAGACTGGATCAGGATGCTGGATCTGCGTCACCCATCAGATATCTGATCCAGCTAATAAGTCAATATCTGAGCCAAAAGTAAATCTGAAGAATCAGATCCGTGCATCTCTACTAACTATTAGGAAATTCTGGGTCAAAACCTATTAGAGGCCACAAAAGACCTGAGAATGGGCCAGAGGTTCGCCTTCCATCTTGATCCCCTAACAAACAACCAGAGCAACAGTCAAACACAGAAAGTTCAGATTAGGGGCTATAATGTGTAACCTCAGCAAGGCACACTAACTATAAAACTGAAGGTCAAAGCAAAAAGCCAAAAAACAGAAGCAAGCTGTTGTCAGAAAAATTTATGTCTGTGTTTTCCACCAAGTTTAAGGCAGATTAAACAAACAAGCTCATGTTATAAAGAAAATATTTAAGATCCCAAATGTCTGAGAAGATTCCCTTTCCCTTCGGTCAAAAATATCTTATGAAAGAATTATAAAAAAAAAAAATCCTCTCTGAATGTTATCTTGCAGACAGCTCAACGAAAGCAATTAAAGCGACCCCTTTCAAAGAGAAAAGATAGACATTTTTGTGTGTTATCTGTTAGCGTGCGGTCTGATATGCTCCAACCTGGCCTGAGGCGAGGAATAATAATCGTTCCTGGCAGCAGGTGATTTGTAACATTGATAGAAGTCTGCAAACTAACTAATTTAGACCTTCCTCTGCTCGTGTACAAACAGCTAACTGACAGGATGATGTGTTTGCAGTGGGAACACTTTTTGGCCTATTTTTTCTGCATCTAACCATGATACCAGTGAGTCACATAACTACATATTAGAGATTATTTCAAATCAGAGATTTTTTCTCAATAGTTTAACTTTATGATCGGTCCAACTCTTGTGTGTTTGCAATGATTATCGACTGATACACCAAGCAGTTTTGTGGTCTCTTTAAAGTGAAGTTTTAAGCACTAATCATTCTCTAAATCTTCCTTTAGCCGCCATGATCAGCCACAAAAAAACACTTTTTCATTTATTAAGATCAATGAACCCAGACAGTTAACCACTAATGACTGAAGTCACTCATCATCACAGTTTCAAGTTATGCAAATCAACCTGGTGAATTCCCTTGATTAAATAAAGTATAGGGTTGTGTTCCCTGCTAATACCTTTTTTGACCAGAGGGCATATTCCTCCTCACATGCTGTCTGAACAACATGAAATGTGTCAATGTAGCTAAAATTAAAGAGAGAGAAAGCTCATATAAAGTAAAAGTCGGATCTTAGCTTCTAAAGGAAAAATTGTAAGACCCTAAATAAACAAAGGATTAACTAAATTTTATTTTTTCAAGGAACTGAAGTTTTAGCACATATAAAACTCAGCATATATCTATCTACATAAGTGTCCACATGAGCTTTGTGGGCGGGTGTAGGACTCAAATTGTTTTAAGGGTTAGGGTTAGGTTAGGGTTGCTCTTTTCAATAAAAATATTTTCTACACATTTGTTAAAATGACCACTCTGATCTGGCAGAAAAAACATGAGTAAGATCATCTTACTCATAAAGAAAAAAAAGAAATCCAGCTCCTCTGACTCTTCCCAATGGTCCTAATAACACACTGTTTCTGGACAATAACAACCAATCAGAGCCCAGAGTTATGTCTTGGCAAATCCCCCTCTGAACTGAACCACGTTTGGTCTTTAAAGCTAAAAAGTGTTGGTTTGCTGCAGGTGTGCAGTCACATCCAAGTAAAGCATGTCAGAAATTTTGAACTATTAAACTATTCTATTGTTGTTTTGCAGGAAACTGACATTTTTCAGCCTTCATCCATCTACAGATGCAAATGTGGCCGTTCCCACAGCATTATGCAGCCATCATTGTGTCCAAGCTATACAGTTCTGGGTATTTTTTGGATTTGGCCCCAAAATTTCAGCCCCTTCTTCTACAGGCTTATGGCCTCCTATATGGGTTCTGACTTTTGACTTTTTTACTGACAGTCTTCAAATGCATCCAAAAAAAAGCTTGCTACTTTGTCTTATACCCCTGCATAAATTCTACAATTACATCCCTAAGCTCTCTACATTATCATTTGACTTTGTGATCCTGGTTGTTCACTATTACATTCATTAATTACATGAATTCAGAATGCAACTAGCTGCACTGAATTTCATTCAATGGCATCAGAGAAAACAGCGGGGTATAAATGTGTAGCATTTATATTTTTAGAAAATGTTGTGACATAGTTTAATCTCTCTTTCTATCAACTTTACAATTATACCCTACTTCCTGTTAATCTGTCTCTATAAAAAGTATGAAGACTCGTTATTAAAAGTTTTGTTCTTTCTTTGTTGCTCATTGTTCCGTCACACAACTGGTGGCCTTACTACAAAGCTGTGCTGAACCACAGACATAAAGGGAGAGGCTCTCTTTTCAACAGCTTTTTTCTGGGATATACTGTAAGCACTTTCCTTCAGACCCAAACAGGAAAATATAAAAAAAAAACAGTCTGGGAGCCTTTAGAGTGTGTGAAAAATCAACTTTCCCTCCAGCAGGCTCGATGTTCAAAAGCACATTCACTCTTCCTTGAATTTTTGTCCACTTGCTACTACTACTGTAATCAAACAATACAGTAAGCAGGGAGGGGGGCAGAGGGGATGTCTGGGGACTGAGCGACTTCCTCTTATTAAAAAAAAAGGCAGATTGGGAGGGCGGGGAAGCGTGACCTCGGGTAAACAGTCTCTGCTTTTGTTTTTTCCCAGGACAGACCCAAACACTGTCCAAAGCAAGCTGCAGAATCCCCAAAACACCAGGAGGCTACCTGAATAACCCCAATGACCTTCTACCCTCTGTAGAGGAAGTAATTTGGAACTAATCATCCATCCTATGAGGCCTAACAGGTGAGTAGCTCATACCTTATAAAGACAATGGGGTTTTTATCCTTTAGCCTAAAGGAGCCCCTAAAACAGCAACGGTACAATAAAAGTACCCAGCCATTACTGTTTGCCAGCCTGGAATTAAAGACCAATTTAGCCATCAACAAGAGCAAATAGTGGGTAAAGGGGAGGTCTTCATCTCTTTCTGCCTCACAGAGCACCTGGGGAGAGCCACAAAGTACTGCCAGAGGGTCTGTCATTAAACACTAGAGGTCAGTTCCAATGACAGATGACAGGACTCAAGTGAAGCCTTGGATATACGAAGTGGGTAGGTACACCTGATAGCTGAATATAGAAATGATATGCTCTGAACTTCTCATAATAGACGGACCACACATACAGAGCCCAGGTGCTTGAGAAATATCCTCTTGTCCCTTTGAACACCTGCTCCTGGGCGAACCGCAGGTGCGCTGGGATTACAGGTGAACCCTAAAGTGCTGTAAGTCTATCTCATGCTGAGATTCCCCCGTTTAACAAAAAAAAAAAAAATTACAACAAAAGATCATGGAGCAGAGGCCAAGCCAGGCAGGTCACCACAGCAGTGGGGGCAAGGCCTATATTTAACAGCGCTGGGAATCGTGGCAGCAGCAGCACAGGAACACGTTCAATAGACATCGAAGGCTGACGGGGACTGGACTTCCTCCGCTGCCTCCAACGTGAGCGGCTCACTCGTTTCAGTCCCGTGGACCCCCACCCCCTCCACACCCCACAGCAACATAAAAAAAAAAAAGATAAGCATTGTTTGGCCTAACAAAGGGACCACTTTAAATGTCTCAAAAGCATCCAGTTTCACATCCAAGACCAGCATTTGAAGTCAAGTAGAGCAATAAATAATTTCACAGGAGAATGATGAGAGTCTCCTTTGTCCAGTGAGCAAATATCAAGTGGAGTTATTTGTCCTTCAACCCAAAGTGAATAACAAGTGGAAGAACAAATGAACAACAATCATCTCAAAATAGGTGTTCAAGCAGCTCAGAGAGGGAACTACAAGTTAAAAGCCTGTAGCTGCACAATTGCATGTTTGCCTAATGGGAAATTTGCTAATGTGGGTCGAGGCTCACAGTGGGCTTCTTTTTGGCACCGCCCTTAGGCTGCCATATACAACTGATACATGTAAAGCCCTTGACCCTATGTAGGTTTTACTTACATCTTCTCTACCTATAGGCCCCATAGTATTGTCCACAAGTTTCAAAATGGACCCTTGCATACTTTATCCAACTCATCATCCAGGTTGCCTCTGGATGAAAAAATGAGACCCTAGGGGTGCTGTGAATTTAAAACTTTATTTCTCAATTCCCCAGCCACCATCATTGTAGAATGTTTATTTGGTTTTGCTTCTATAACTTTTATATATTCAAATGGATCCCATTAGGAAAGTTGTGTATGCAAAGGGCAAAATCCACATTGCCAACATTCACAGTGCATTTTAAGCTTTTGCTGAGAAAATATGTCCAGAGCAGCCCTCTATTTAAATGTTACAAACACTTTATCTGAGACCATTGTATAACCTGTGAACCATCCCATGATGGAACAATTTTAAGCCCATTTCCTACCAATACGGCCCATATTGCCCAGTATCCCAGTTGTGCACATAATTTTAATTGTGGTGCAATATTTAACATACCAAAATGACTTTATCATATTTAGTCAACCCATCTGGATGCACTATTGGGCTGTCATTGGATTCTCATCTCAATGTAATTCTGATGTGATGGCAAAATTAAAACAATAGGGGTTGAGATCATACTGGGGGGTATAAACTAACCTTGAAGGAGTTTTGGTCAACCAGAGCTTGCGCCTGCTTCTTCAGTTCGGACACCTTCTTTTGGCACTGCTGGCAAAAGCCTCCTTTCTCCTCTGACTCCGGGATGGAAACTGACCCGGCGCCCTCGGGTGGAGGTCGGCTGCTGCATCGCGCTTCTTCTGCTGAATGAAGCCTTTTCCTGGGGCTCACCGCGGACTCTCCACTGGGACAACCCTCCACCTGTAGCAAAAGATAAAAAGTTTTTTTCTAATTTATAAAATATTTATTTTATAAGTCAGGTGCGCACGGGTGACCCTAGCAAAGTGGACAGAAAGAGCGCCTGCTTGCTGCGCGCAACGGAGAAACGAGGGATAAATGTTAATAAAATATAAACTTTTCACCCCGATTGTGAAAAACTTACAGCAAACATGCGGCTTTGGGATTCCTCTGCATTAGAAGCCAGGATGCCCTCTAACGTTTCCATTCTCCTACATTCCAGGTTTTCAACTTCAGGAGAATCTTTGGTCAAAATCAAAATGCAAAAGTCGAGGTAAAGCCATGGGCTACTCTGGAGGATAGACTGTCACATTGGATGCTTATAGACAGGAGCTGCTGAGCTAAGGTAACAAGTGAGCGTGTCCTGAAGTTTGCAGGCTGCGCAGGAGTTTTGGCACATCAATGGGGAGGCGGTATATCCTGCTAAAATGGGAGGGCTGAATAAACTTTCTCTCCAGCGGTAAAATCTCTGTATTTGAACGAAGTAAGATTGAAACTTCTCACGATAGTTTGATTATTTAAATGCATATTACGACCACTTGTTAGAAGGTTACAAAAGCTTTAGACTACATGAGAAAACACAAGAAAAAAAGTGTACATTTATCAAATTATGCCAAAATAAGGACCTAATGGAAGTAAAGTAAAATTGACTGATTTATTTATTTTAATCTTCTATTATGAAAAAATATATATTTGAAATGCTTTTGCGTTTCTCCAACAAAAAAGAAGTTTAATAGCGTGAACCAGCGCGTCTGTGAGCGTCTTTAATGGGACTCTGGCGCCATCGTGTGGATTAATAACGAAACAGCGTGTCTCTGACTGATCGAGAGGGCGCACTGTGGGTTTAATATTTAATTAGTAAACTTTGAATTTTTCATGCGGGTGATGTAAGCCACAGTGACCAACCCTTAAATGGCTTTACCTTTAGTCTTGTACTTGTCATTTTATATTACAGATTATATGGTCAGATAAACCCAGAAGTAAACACAGAAAATATAAAATAGATGTTGTCTATTTGTTGTGGAGTTAAAAGGGATAATTTAAGCATCTTTGGTTTAAGCTTTAAAATATACACAGAATATAGAATTTTAAATTATATTATTCTATTACAGGATTTCATAAACATGTTTAGAGTATTTTAAAATAACCCGTTTCCTTTATTTATCCTGGTATTGTATCTTTGCTGTGATTTGAGTAATTGTTACCATATATTTCTCAGAGTAAAAATAGATAAAGGTGTTAAAATTAATTTAACTTCCCTCCAAAAAAAAAAGAGCTGATTTTAAACTGATCTGAGGTTGAGAAAAGGGATCATAGTCCCAGAGAGGAGCGCTCCATACGCGCATCATTTGTCCGCATCCTAACTGTTTTCCTACTATACAGTTATCCATCCCCGTTAGCCTTACCTTTGTTTTTCTCCTCAGCAGGTGACTTGTAAATCCAAATATAATGTCCGAGTCAACAAAGATAGTTCCGAGGTCTATGACGTTGGGGTTGGGCTTCCCTGCTTCTGGAGAGCCCGGTGAGTTTGGTAAAGCCATGCCAGATGGATGCGCTGCCCTAAAACAGATTTTAATCCTATTTGGTGTTTAGATCCATGGGATTCACTAGTCTTATTTCGCCAGAAAAGATCCGATAGGTGTTTTAATCCCAACATCCAGGGAATTGTGTTGAGCACGTGTGCGTAAAAAAGAACCCCCGGGTTTCCAGTGGTGGGTCCGAGAGAGAGGGAAGTACAATCCACCGGATTTGTATCCACTGTGTTTATCTACTTTTTTAAGCGATCCTCAGGCTGGTCATGCCTGATGTGTGACTGATGCTGCAGCAGGTCCAAGAGCGAACAAGGATCACCTTGTGCTTCTGCTGCGCACTGATCTCCTGCCTCTCTCCATCTCATCACCCAACTCTCCCTCTCTCACTGAGCCTCCCCCCTCTCTCTCTGCTATAAGCTCCCCCCCGTCAGGCTGTGATGACCTGCTCTATCATCCCCCTCACGAAGATGTAAAACACAGTGGCAATCCTGCCTGTAACCACACACAGAATCCTGAAGGCTGCTGGTTTTCTCCTAGGTGCACAAGGAACACAGTGATGTCTCTTTTTTCTCTTTCAGGTCAACAAGCCTTCAAAATAAGACTCTTGTATGAGATTTTTATTTTATATGGTTTTTAGTTTTCAACTTTGTAGATTGCTTTTAATAGATTATTACTATGGTTTCTCTTTCTGTAATTCAAACCAATGACAGAAAAAAGTTCTGTTTAAGGTTAGATTCATGGCATATTCATATGAAGCTTTTTGTTCAATTTAATTAAATATCTTGCAATGAAAAAAAATCCAACTTCTTTCTTGTCAGAATGTTAAAGCAGAACAATTTAAAAAATATTTTTAATAAAGGGAAAAAAAATACATCTTATGGCTGAAGGACTACTTGTCTAACAGTTGACCAACAGGCCATCTCAGTACCCTGCATAATGAGGGCAAAGCATAAAAGGTGATTACAAGAATAGGCTGCACAGAGTGCAACAATAATGTGCAGAGGGTAAAACCATAATCGATGGCATGTCATTAGTTGATTTTGGTCCAATTTACTAATTTTCATTTTCAAACTGCAATGTACATTTTTGCTTTCATTTCACATAACCTACTTTATTTACCATCCTATAATATATGATCATTTAACATTAAATTAAACAAAAATAAACATATTTTAGTTTGTAATGGAACACTCCTTTATGGATTAAGAAGCAGATCAATATTTTATAACAATTTTATTCATAGGAACCAGAGTAAACAACACTCAGCAGCAACTTGTCAGGGGCCAAAAATAACACTTATTAAGTATATTTGTCACTGACCAAGGAGATGCTTTCTGAATTGATTGTCTAATACATCTGATTTCTTCTATGTAAAGCAGCCTTAATGTTTTTAGGTTATGGGGTGACATTTAAATCACAGCACTAATGGAAAGACATCCTTCTAGAACACCACTGGTGCATAAAATACCAATTGTGCCTTTTGTGATCAATGGAAAAAAAAATGATTATTGGCAATAGAGCAACTGAACCATTTATATATAACTGAAAGGATTACGGTATGTCTCCAATGGCATTGTCACTCATTTTTGGCAATGTGCTCCAAGTTGTTTATGTTTGAAGGTCTTTGCCCAAACCCAATCTCTAGCTCCAACTCTGAACTGCTGTTAAATATTTAGTCACCAGGGGGCACTCATAAAATACTGCCATTAATTAAATTCAACCTATCCCCTTGGGGAGCAGTGGGCTGCCACACAGTATATATATATATATATATATATATATATATATATATATATATATATATATATATATATATATATATATATACAAGACCTTGTCAAAATGACACAAAATGACAGTTGTCTAAGTCTAATTTAGTACAATATATATGTAGACAGATTTTGTAATTCCATTAAATTGTTTTTTTTTATTCATTCGATGGCTACCATGTTTGTTTTTCCATTTGGTAGTACCCTCTTGTACCGTAATACATCTTGTACGGGCGCAGCTCATCCATGTTTACAGCGTGAGTTGCTTGATCTGAGCGCTGAACTGGACGCATCAACGTGAGGGGATGACTACGACGCTCCTTTTCTTTGCAATGGATGATTATCAATTCAAGAAATGTAAAAACTTCACAGGAGGACAAAGAGTTTGGACATTTTCTGATCTTTCCTAACCTAGAAACTGGTCAGTGTTTATGCAACAAGAGAGTCCTGAGAGGTAAGCAATGTAGAGAGGTAAAGTTTGGATGATTTCAGCTGTCACTGGGATAATGATTGTAAACCATTAAAATCATTTGTTGGACCCCTCTTCTACCCCTTCTCTCCAGGAGGTCCAGATCCCACTTTCTGCTGATGAAATTCAGTGACTCCCCCCTTGGGATGCCCCCCTGGGACTGCCTGCGCCTCTACATCTGCTGCCCATGTCCCTGCGCATGGACGCTTAAAGCGCTCAGGGCTTCTCATTAATGCCTCTCTGCGTGTCTTCCCCTCTCCTGCGCGGCTCCCCCGGTGCGCGGTCAGGCTTTGAGGGAAACGTTTAGCAAATATTGATACTTCTTGGTGCATATGGAGGAGATCAAAAGAAAAAAAGGCTGAGAGAGAAGAGGGGGGTCTAAAAAAGTGAAGGGGTGGATAAGTGGTGCACAGCGTTTTCATAAATGATTGATGCACTTTAAGGGGGGGTGACTGCTCAGAAAATATGAGATTGGATTTTTTGTGTCACTTTTTTTTTTTAAATGCACCTGAAAGCAAATATTTCTGTTTCAAATGTAACCTTTAATAATTTACTAGGTAGTTCAATCAAAACTTTGCTGATACATTAAAAGCACTTTTCTTAAATATCAAATAGCATCACATCACAAAAAAAGAAGACATCTTTCCATCAAGTGAGTGAATTTGCCATTTTAGCACAAAAACAATTTCCAGAGCTCTGGACAGTGACTCTCCCAGCAGACCCAGGGTCTATCACCCCCCACAGACTCATCAGAGACAAATGGTTCTTTATTGACTTGTTTTAATCAGTACCTCTGGAAAGTGGGAACAGAAAAGCAGTGAAAAAAAATGAGCTCTATGCAGCAACAGAGCCGTTAAAATGTTGCTTATGTGCCAGCAGAATAAAATCACCGAGCCATGATCATTTTTACTGTCCCCCTCAGCTCCAGAACTGCAGGTGCTGCTGTGACAGTCGGGTAAAAAATGACAGAGAAACCTTAGCTTGGTAACAACAATGCAGCCGTTTCCAAAATGGTCCAGAGTCAGGCCTCCTGTTGTGTTAGAGAGAATCGTTGGCAGCATTTGTCCGACTGCTCAAGTGGTCCTAAACATTTCACAATTTTCTCAAGAACTGTTGAACTGTTGAGAACCACTTGATCAGAATGACTTTCCTTTTTTTCTTCATTCCTGTTCTTCCATCTTTGGATCCCACTAGCGTAAGAAAAAAAGGAAACAGCTTTGTTAAAAGAAGAATAATATCAGTTTTGCTGCAGATTTCTAAAGTTTAAACCTGCTGCAGAGTAAATCAGTTAAAAAAAAGTAGAACAGAGGCCTAAGACAAGCACTTCTGGATCAAAGAGTATTTACCTGTAGAAGCTGTCCCTTTCCCTTGACAGCAGTAGTGCTCCTTGGTTTTATCCCTGCCTAGACTGAGTGACTGGAGTTGTAAGACGTGCTTATATAGTGTTTTTTGGGCTTGGCTTCTACAAGAGTCTCATTCAAGAAAGAATGAAGCCCATGCTGGTCCGACCAGATGAGCCAGGTTCCACCGGTAAGGAGCAGGACCGGGCAGCCACCCTGAAAAGACAAAAAAGATACCGAGGAGTCACATGAACAGATGCACATTTTATGTCGTAGCTGCCTTGCGAGTTTGTGTGATTTCTGATGTAAAAGAATTACATTAATAGTCAGTAATAGCCTGCTGTTCACTGCGCTTTATGTTAGAGGTAGATGCAGCAAGTCTCTTCAAGACCTGCTGCAGTCATGATTATCATTGATAAATTTGGCAAGAGACAGAGAAACCAAGCTGAAAGATGTTTCTTAATTTTGATGGTTGAAAAGATATAAAATTATTGGTTTAAATTGATAGAACTGGAAGTAGGAAAGGCAAGGCAAGTTATATCTAAAGCACCATTCATATGTAAGACAATTTAAAGGGATTTACAGGAAAATAAATCCTGTCAATCTTTTTTATCTCCCTGAGATAAATATAAAGGAACATGACATTTAAAACAACCAATAAACAAATGACTGTAAAGTTTTAATATCACATAAAATAAATATTAAAATGCAAATCTCAGTTCCACTGATAAGACCAGATGAAAATGAACTGATGAAGTAATCTGTAACTTTTATGAGAAGCCAGCAGTAAACTGAGGTTTCCCTTCCCAACCTAAAAGAATCCATTCGTTTCTACAAACTTCAGGTTTTCAAAACAGAATCTTCAGTATTTAAGTATATTAGATGCTCTGTTATTCAGTATATACAGGGAACTGAAAACATGCTTGCCGCACTAAATTGGATGGAAAAAATATAATGGAGGGATGAAACTAAATGCTACCTGAAGGTGGAATCCTGTGGGGTCTTGATGGGTCATACCTGAGAAGCATCTGAGATATATTTGGCCCAAAGTCGCTTAGTTACAGTATATAAACCAGGTATAAGATTGATTTTTTTTCTTTTTACTAACAGTAAGCCAGTGCAGTAATTCAATGTTTGCTGCAGTGCAATATTTTCTCTTGATTTCAGCCAGGATTCATGCAGCAGCAATCCTGGATGAGCTGCATCTTCACAGAAAACGAGTAAAAACTTAACATGATCGTTTAGAGTCCACGATAACACAAAAGGGAGTGTGAGTCCAAATGCTGATCTAAAATTTTACAGTTTCCTTTTTCTGGATCAAGAAGCTGGAATCTTTTCTGCAAATAGTTTAACAGCATATTGAATAAAATTGATCTGAGAATGGCATCATGAGTAACCCAACATTACAGCAGAATGAAACCGAGGAGTTTTAAAAAACAGCTCTAAAACCAAAAAGAACAAAGCTGCTGCAAAAAATTAAAAGCATAAATAATCAATGATGTAAAATAACTAAAAGACTTGGTGACTTGTTTCATTTAACTTCTAATGCCACACTAGTAAATATATACATTTATGAATTTAATTGGTGAGAGGCAATGGTATAATCTAAAATTTGAAGTTGGGAGAGTTTATAGAATACATATTAAATAACAGTGACCCAAGAACATACTCTTGAGGAACACCATTTAGTTTTATCCACTCAGATTTAATATTTCCAAATGCCAAAAAGCAACCCTAGTCTTTAAA